TCAGCCCTAAGTACAATTTATAAGATATGAATATAACATTTAATAATTTGATTCCTTTTTCTTATTTTTTTATTCTTATATTGTATTATAATGAACAACTTAAACAAAATATTTAGGACCAATTTAATTAGATTTTGGTGTCAGTTTATTTCTTCCACTTTTAACTACCGACTTGTTTCTTCGGTATACCAGTTTCAAAATCTCTATCTTTCTATAAATTAATCTAATAGTTATTCTGACAAATCTTATTTAAATTAAACCCCACAATAATAGTAATAATAACAATAATACATGCTTCTTTTTAGTCATCAAAGTCAAAATAGATTGTCAGATTTGGTTGCCGAACATTTAGATCATCTTCATTATCTAAATGATATTTTATGTTTGAATATACCAGACTTGAATAAAGTTCTATCAGAACATTTATTACATAAACTGTTAGTCCCATTGTATGTCTATTCTCTAATGAAATACAAAAATACGTGCCAAACTCAGGTAAAAATCAAATTTTTATCTCTTTTATTATAAAAGTAAGTAATTAATGTATGAACTTATTTTTTTAAGCAGTATGAATTTATTTTTCTTATTTCGAGATATTTAATGTTTTAACCTCTTCACGCGAGTATTTAAAAATATTATTAAAAGTTAATGAGCTTATTTTTGTGTTATAAGGAGATAATATTTCTTTATAGCAATAATTAATTTAAATTTTTAGGATGAAAGAAAACACGTCAGTGTTGTGGTAGCGCTTTTTCTACTTTCTCAAGTCTTTTTGATAGTATCACATGAACCTCTTGTACATACGTTAGCGATTGTAATGCTCATGTCCGATTTAGAGACGATTCAAATTGGAACAAATAGTGTTCTCGAAAAATTTGGAGATATATCGAATAAATCTGTTACCTTCTCACTTCCGAAAGAAACATTGAAAAAATCTTGGGAAATTTTAAATGAAATACGCTCAACATCTAAAGAATTGCAAGCCCGGGAAAGCAGTATAAGAAATATAAAAGAAGTAGTTAAAAATGCAATTGACGAATTGCAAGAATTTCATCACCCAAGCACGTCTTTTGATGATGCTTCAACCCCTATAAATACTCCTGTTCTTACAAATACATCATTAAATACAAGCATTTCAAGTGAAGAGGATTTAGAGGAAATTAAGCATGAATTGAATGTAACGGATGAAGAAAAAGAACAACGCTTAGCATTGGAGAGCCCTTTACCTCATCAAAGTCAAAATAACGTATTTGAATCTTTAACAAAAAAACCATTTCTAGAAACAATAACCAATTCCTTATTATGTACAGAAAATGATTATGCTGCATTATTCGCGCTTTGCTTATTATATGCATTAGCTAATAACCAGGTAATTATAAATTCTGATACGGACCTGTTTTATTCATAAATGTTTTTTTTTTTTTATAATAATAAGTCAATTGTGTTGTTTAGGGTATAAGTCATAAAATTCTGGATATAATCTTATCTCCATTTCATAATAATACGTCGACGAAAAATTCCTATAATGATTTACTCATGGATAGATTGATTCATATTATAACTTTGAGTTGTCAAACAAGTGAGTTGTAGCGATAATTTCATTATAATTTATGTGAATTTAATATTTGCATATACCACAAAATTTTCAAGTTTTATAAGAAAATTAATTCTTTTTTAGATTCTAAAGTAAGGCTTGTTACGTTAGAATTAACTATCAAGCTATTAACACAACTGACAGTATCTGAAGGACAATGTCTATTACGAGAATCGCATCTAGCAGTCATTGAAGCAGCGAAAGAACAAAGCACATCTCTGCTCAAAAATTTCTACAAGGTGTGTAAATGATTGAAATTGTACTAAGCGGAAGTTTTGTTTGCCCCTTGACTTACAAATGCATTCTGTTAAAAATATTCTATATTAATTTTGTTTAGAGTGAAGACATTTTTTTGGACATGTTTGAGGATGAATACAGCGAAATACAAAAACGACCGTTAAATGTCGAATGGTTAATGATGGATAGCAATATTTTGTTGCCACCTACAGGCACACCTATGACTGGAATTGAATTTAGTAAAAGGTTACCATGTGGTGAGGTAGGAACAAACACAAAGAAATATATTTTTAGATGAAAGCTGCAGAAAAATCACATATATTATATAAGAGAATAAAATCATGAATAATTGTGCAGGTGGAAAGGGCACGTCGTGCGATAAGAGTTTTCTTTTTGATAAGAGAATTATCTCTGATACTCAATATGGAAATAGAAACACAATTACCACTAACTAATCCAGCTAATTGCGTACAAGTTAACAACGTTCTTGATCTAAGTAAGAGTTATCTATCTTAACCACATCGTTAATTATTAAAAAAGTGACAGAGTTAACTTGTTGCAATATTTGATATACAATATTTTTTATTCATTGATCATGGTTATAAGTAAAATTAGATAAACAACATAAAATTTGTTATTTATAATTTTGTTTACAGATAACAGTGATTTGATTGCATGCACTGTCGTGTGGAAAGATGGTCAGAAAATTCGCCGTTTCTTAGTTATTGATGTTGTACAATTAATTCTTGTGGAACCTGATATCAGTAAACTTGGATGGGGTGTTGCAAAGTTAGTTGGTTTTTTACAAGACATTGATGTGGCCGGCGACAAGGACGATTCAAGATGTTTGTACCTGACAATTTACAAACCATTAAGCAACAGCACGGGCAATCGTATACCGTTGCTGTCGGCTAAATTTATTTTTGATGATCATATCCGATGTATGGCAGCTAAACAAAGGTTAGTCTTGTAGCAAACGTCAAAGTCGTATTATCATTTCAATTAATTAAATCGATCAAACAATAATTTAGGTTGACAAAAGGACGAATAAAAGCAAGACAAAAGAAGATGAATCAGATTGCAAGATTGTTGGATATTCCAACGAGTATATCTCATTGTTCAACGCCACCCAATTATGCTTTGCGTAGTTTGCGACATGAACGTAAGTTTAAAACTAGAATTAATCAGCAGAATCTTCGTAAATGATCGATTTAATTCTTTCAGGTATAATCGGACGTGGTCAGAGACTGCAGAGAGATCAAGCAAGGCCGATGTTTACGGTAAATAAAGTTCCTGGATTTGCGGCACAAATGCGTAGAGATAATATTAAGCCGATGCTATCGCCGAGTCCCAAACGCGATGATTTAAGTTCAAATGAGAAGATTCATGAAAATAGTTTGCGATCTAGAGATGGTTCACCTAAGATGCCAAGACCACGGAGCGAAGAGATTCCTCTAGAGGATATGTGTACTCGGAAAGCTTCTCTTACGTCTAATGGACTAAATGTAACGCACACATGTCCAGAAAGAAGGGACAGTCAAGGTGCTTGCTCGAATAATGAATCCTTGTGTGTAATTAGGAAACATTCTGAAGAAACGTCTTTCACATCTCCGCAAAGGCAAGAATCAAAACCACGTAGAAAAGGTCAAGTGGAAACTGTGTGATTGAAACTAGGCAAACTAATAATTCAAACTAAACGTATCTTTAAAAAAATCTTAAGAGGATGAATGAAAATGTGTATATGCTATACTTCTGACTTAGTAAAAAAAGCTTCTTGACTAAATTAATAACAAAAATTTAGTGTTTATGAATTTTATCTCATAACGAGTAAAATTGTAATTTTTATGATACTTTTATCAAATATGTGATAATAATATCAATGAACGCTCTTTTCAATGAAAGCTCTTATGACTAACACAGAAAAAAATAATGAGGTGGAAGCTAATATTGTCGCACTTTTCTTTGTGTTAGAAATCACTGAGATTGTCCTTATTTATATAGACATCTCTTACATCTTAATTTAACTAAAATTCATTCGCGCTACACATCACTATTCCATATAACTATCACTTTAATGGTAAAGAAATCGTGCAACAATTCTCGTAATTATTTCATATATGTATATGTATCCCTATTTTAAGAAGATTACAGTTTTTCTATATAAATTGAAGAGTAAAGAAAGTTATATAAGGTTCTTTAGATGATATTAATCATTTATAAGTAAGAAGCAAAGCCTATACCGGTCGAAGTCTATCTGAAGTGCTTTAAATAATTTCACGTGAATTTATATACCACGTTTGTAGTCTCGAATTGCACACCAAATTGATTTTCCGGACTTAGAAATGCAACTGAACCACCATATAATAATATCACAAATTAAATTGATTAGCAATTTTATAATATCCTGCTCAGTTGCATCATTTTAAGATCTTAATGTATTGAAAATCTGTAAATAAATTTATTGCAAAAAATATTACCTCGGTTGGGAGTCGAATCCAAGTCTCTTAACATTCCGTGCGAGCGCAATTCAAGATACTACAAATGTGTAATATATAAATTCATATGAAATTATTTAAGACACTCAAGATCCAGCTTCAACCGGTGTAGGTTGAATTGCTTCTTATTGTGTATTCACATTATATGATCCTAATAAATCGTTTATTATTGTTTAATCATTTATATTTTAAATAAATTCCCAAAAAATTAACCTTTTGACTGTAAAACATAAAAAGTTCAATACTTAAAAATTGAATACAGAAATATAGACTAAGTAAACTATAATAATTTATATTAGAAATTGTATTTTTATTTTGCATTTATGTAGGAGTATATCCTGTACATGCATAGTTACATGTTTGTTATAAACAAATTTTTTTTTTTTCAAAGAATAATGTAGTATGAAACAGTTTTTGATATCATAAAATGCACAATATGTATTATATAAAACTAATCTGCAGCGAATTCATATTTTCTAACTTTCTAATGATATAATATTTCTTTAAATATATATTCGTATTTTATTCTGATATTTCTAAAAACATTTTGCTATTATGTCAGTAATCAACAAATATAAAATTATAACTTTATTACCAGAGGTAAAATTTTTTATTTGTTAAAATAAGCAAATGTTATCTTAATATTTAATAATAATGTTCTTTATAATGTTCTAATTTAAAAAGAAATTTTTTCTGCCTTTAAGTATATTGTACATAATATTCAATTTAATTTAATCGAAAGAAATTAGCTCTGCTGTTCTAGGTTTTGTTTCTTCTGCATCTTGAGGAGTTTCGTTAGTTGTAGTTGCGATTGGAGGAGCAGGTTGAAATGAAATTTATTTCACAGCAGGAATTTGAGCCATTCCTTGCATTGTTGGTACATTAGGCGTTTGAGAACCAGGTAAGGTTTGACTCGCTGCAGGAACAGGTCCGTTGTTAGCTCCGGCAGACGGCACTTGAATAACACCTGAAGATTGGGATGATATAGCAGTATTGGAAACATGCGTTGGTATTGAAGCTCCTTGGGTACCAGATAAGGTAGATGATTGTGATCCTATTTGCGATGACAGACCAACTATGACACCAGTAGGTACATGACTCCCCGAAGCTATCGGACCTGATGAAGGGCCCATGTGTCCTTGAGGTATTGGAGGCAGCCTGATTTGAGTCAGAGGAGCAACCTGCTGTGGCATTTGAGACGAGGCGCCTTGTTGAGGTGATATATGTCTGCCTGCTGAAATTTGTCCCGATGACATATGTATCGTCGGGCCTTGCGGAGATTCTATTTGATGATTGTTCGGTGGCTGAAACTGTTGAATAGATGGTGTCATTTGAGGCAGTATCTGCAAAAAAAAGTATTCTAAAGCCCGTGGTTTTTACAATATATTATCTAAAGGTTAAAGGTTACTAAGAAATTCATAGATGAATTTAATTCATTGATGAATCTCTTGGTAACCTTTAATCTTTGGGTAATCATATATTGTGAAAATAGGCCAGACTTTTTTTTTATCAATAGAAAAGGCAAACACATTTAAAAGTTTACAGACTTACTATTCCTGGACCTGATATAGATACATGACTTATATTCTCCTGTCCTTGGATGGATGGATCCGGTGGTTGTTGTTCCGGATTAGAAAGTGATGGCATCATATGCACTGGCAGAGTACTCATCGGTGGCATGTTATAACCCTGCATAGGATATTGGCTCATAGCTGGTTGTCCATACATATAAACTCCTTGATTTGTAGGTGACATCGGATTGTAATTAGTTCCTGGATTCGGATAGCGTACGTGACGAACAGGCGATCCTTGAGAAGGTCCCATAAAATCTGGAATACCTTGATAACTTCCTATAAAAAATAGAGATAAAATAAATAACTTTAAGGGGGGAGCCTCATGTAAAATGAAATTTTTTAGCCATTTTTTTTTTT